CCAGCCACCTCATTCTCTGTCATCCCCTTCTTCTTTTGCTCTCAGTCCTTCCTAGCATTGGGCACTTCTCCAGGGAGTCCTTCCTTCTCATTAGGTGGGCAAAGTATTTGAGTTTCATTTTCAGAATCTGGCCTTGTAAAGAGCAGCCAGGGTTGATCTCCTCTAGGACTGACCAGTTTGATCACCTTGTAGTCCAAGGGACTCACAAGAGTCTTCTTCGTCACCATAGTTCAAAGGCCTTCATTCTTCGGCTTTTCAGCCTTTCTCATGGTCCAACCTTCACAGCCATCCATTGCAACTTGGGAAATCATAGCCTTGACTATACACACTTTTGTTGGCAGGGTGATTTCTCTGCTTTTTAGTATGCTGTCTAGATTTGCCATAGCATTCTTCCCCTGGAGCAAGCGTCTTTTAATTTCTTGGCTGCAGTCCCAAATCTGTGTTGATCTTGGAGCCCAGGAAACTAAAATCTGTCTTGGGACTAGTACATGGGGATAATTGTATTTCCTTTGCTGTGACCAGGTGGGTAGCCTATGAAGGCAAGAATTTCAGTGGAGAACAATATATTTTGGAGAAAGGAGTGTATCGCAATTGTGAAGACTGGGGAGCAACCAGTTGCCAGATCGCCTCCGTGCAACCTGTCCTACAGGTAAGGGTCCAAATGCCTGCCTTCACTTTCCTCCAGTTCAGATATGATGTCCCGCAACCCACACTCCAAATTTTCAAGCAACAAACTTTATCTCGATCCTTCTGCATAATAGTCTTCCTGAAGTAGGAACTCCGTTCCATTAAAAAAGGAGAAGCCTCAAAGCTTTGCTTTGCATGCTCACGCATCTTCTTCAGAGATTAACAACTAAGCAATGAGCAGTGTGTTAAATCTGGTTGAACACAATGTTTTTTCAGAGAACTCTTTTAAGTCCAAAACTGAAAAGAGGTTGCAATGCTTTGGCCTTTTTCCCATTTCAGATCTCACTCACGTAAGAGTAAGATTTTAATTCTGTAGCATGGTTACACTTCTTTTCTATTTTGTGCTAGCCAGATCATCCAATCAGTAATACATGTCTTTAACCTGGTCTAAATAGTATATCACAATTCACTTTTATTTCCTCACAGGTTGGGGAACGCAGCCTGTTCTTCATTTCTAAGGTGAGCAGTTGGCATTGAGAAGCAAGGCGTAAAGGTAGTTTTTATGTCACATTACGCAATTCTAGCAAGACTACCACATTTTAGTTGGTTTGGTCCATTAAATCATGGCTTTACATGATGCTTCTTGAGCCCTTACTAAACTGCACTGCTGATCCTATTTTGCTTCACTCGCCTAGCCCAATAATTAATAAAGGCTGTATTTAATATAGCTTTCCTGAAATTTCAAATCTTTACCGTGCTTCTTCTGGTGGCATTATTGCCATGATTCCTATGTTCCTTGCAGACAATGAGCTAAATAAAAATTAAAAATGCAGCATATCTCCCTCCCAGATTAAAAACAAAAGGTTGTCTTCTCCTGTAGTAATTGGATGATCAGGTTATTTATATTTTATAGATGTAGTATTTTCAGAGAAGCAGAACCGATAATCATGTTGTTACAGTAATACATTAGGTTCATCAATGAAAACAGTTATCATCCTTTGAATGGCTCCCTGCAGCCCTGTGAGCAATATTTACCCCAGTATTTCTCAACCTTGGCAACTTTAAAATGGGTGGGCTTCAGCTCCCTGAATTCTCCAGCCAGCATCATCATCATTTAACAACCCCATAATCCCTTGCCGGGTGGAGTCTGAGCAACTGAATGGAGCCAGCAGAGTGTTTTAATGACCAGACGCCCTTCCTGTTGCCAATGCGGACATATATTCAGCAGATATATTCTCAGTGTGCCCAGCGAGAGAAATATCTGCCTCTCCCTAGGATCAAACTCACAACCTCCTGATTGTGAGGTGAGAGCTCCACCTGTAGGTCACTGCACCACTCCAATTCCCCAGCCAGCATAGGGAAGACAATATGATTTCCTTTATTTATGGAATTCTGAAAACTATGATTTTTAAAATGAGATTATTATGACTGTGAGACAGTTATTCCAAG